GTTAACAATATGTATGTATGTTTTACAAAATGTCCTACCTCAAAGTGACTATGTCCACAGAGATCTAAAATTGATGAGCTGGACTGATCATGTACTCTTATATAGATTTACAGCTCTTTTCAATAATGTCCCTGACATAATGTACTTTTTTTACAGTTTCTAATTGGAAGCCATCTCAAACATTTAGTGAAAAGAGATATCTCAATCTCTGGTAAACTCTGGAACAAAAGCTGCCAGTGGACAAAATAAATTATCTCTGAATAAACGAGACTCCCATATTTGCCTTCGATATTTCTATTTGTAACATAAAATACTTGCTAAAGGTAAATTCTTGTATTTACTTCCATACATCTGGTATACAATCTGCTTGCTTACAAAGAACAGCTGTAAGGGGAGAGAGGTGTGGATGTTAAAACTAGATCAGGCAGGGTGGTGTTGACTTACTTTCTCATTATGAGCACATGCACTGGAGGCAATTGGAAAATGTAGTTATGTGCAAATGGCAACAATTTGCAGTGCGAGATGTTGTCTGTGGAAAGAACATATTTTCACTGACTTTGGCAGAAGAGATATGAATGTCATTGTCGCAAAAATTAGTCTGGGTGATGTCTACCTCGGTTGAATGACACATAGACCTTCAACACATCCACTATATACATAAACAGAAAGTATAATTCGTGGACATCACTTGACAACACTTCAAATTGACAAATTGACAACACTTGTCTATAGACCATCTGGTAACAATACAGCATTTCAGTATGGCAAGAATTTTTGGCTTGGCCATATTTAATTTAGGTGTAGGGTAATATACTGTATACCCTACACATCAAAATTATATTGTTGAATCAAACTGATTTGCAGATATTTTAAAATACAGACCTGCTACTTTTTCTGGCCTCACATATGGCACTGGTTTCTTATTAATTTGATTTTTTTCTGACCAATCATAATAGAGTAATACAGTAATAATAATATACAGATACAGATTCTTTGTATGCTTAATTTCTCTCTCTCTCTCTCTCTCTCTTTGTGTGTGTGTGTGTGTGTGTGTTTAAAAGGCTAAGAAAGACTGATTTCAGATCTTAAAAATTCGAGTTGTTTCATTTATCTTAAGCAGATGCTATTTGCACCCAGGTGTTTGCGGCCAAAAATGCTATTTACGCTACCATGCTATGGTATACATACTCTGGTATACCAAAACGGCAGCATGGTGCAGTATGGTATAAAAATAATAGTAATACTAATGATAATACATTTTATTTATGGATCTCTAGATGCTCAAAGACAACAGATGACAAACACTAAAAACAGAATGTTGCACTAGCACTTTGGAGGCACTGCAGGCCAATGGGGCCTTCTCTGAAGATTATGAATATGTTCAATTGCACTCTGATGTCTGTCATATTTGAGGCTAAATTTTTCATTTTGTATTTTCAGAAAAAATAACATTTCAAGAAAGAGTATAAGTTATTTGCAATGAACTGGCTGTGATTTAGTGACCAAATAAAACCTAGTGAGGTAGGTTATTTTCTGCCTTAGCCCAGAATGTCTTGAGTGAATATGTGCCATCTAAATGGAAATGTGGTGAGCAGCAATTTTTTTTATTTGAAACCAAATTTTGATTCAACCTGTTAAACAAGAGTCCAAACAATAGAAGTGGTTTTGTTGTCCTGCTAGATTTTAGTTTTTCTTTAATAATAGGATACCGCATTCTAATAAGGCTCTGGTTATAATGGGTTTACATGTTATAACTAATGTTTAAAGTTATAACCTAACTTACAACTGCAGAGTTGATGACAAAAGTCTTTAATTAATGACTATAAATATTTGTAGCCATCAAAAGACTATATGGCTTGTTAGAAAGTGAGAAACCAATGAATATTTATCAATGGATTACCAACATTTCTAACTACATAATTACCAAATACAAACTAACCAGAGAGATTTTCCACGCAAAAGTTGTTCTTATTAATGCCTTATAACTAGCCATAAAGCATTAGTAAATGATTGATTAACCATAACAAAGCCATTAGCAGTATAAAGGTGCCCTATTAGAAAGTGGTATCCAGTGTATTTAATATGATAAGCTGCTATGAAGGTGTATGACTATTTTAGTAGCCTACATCTTTAGTAGTGCAACTGTAGCCTACAAATTAAAACAAGGATTTGAGTCTGTAGTGACCTTCACGTGATTAATGGATGCTCCATGTGACTCTGTTTGAAAGGTGTCACCTTTTATTTGAGAACCACGAGCAGGTGACACTGTGGACTTGCCATACAACCGATTTGACGTGAGCAGGGGCTTGTGCAGGAGAGCAGGAGAGTCGGGGCCAGAGGGAGGAGAGCTTGCTCTCTGATGTACACTCGTTTCTCTGTTCACTGGCGCCGTGACGATAAGCAGGCAGCGGACGAGGATGCTCTGTTGTCTGGTGCGCACTCTCCTCCTGTTTCCAGCTCTCCACGATCACCATGGAAGAGCTTAATTAATGCACAGGCTTTATTTGTCCCTCCTGCTCCCGGAGCTGATGTATTTTAAACCGCTGTTCGGAGACCGGACCTGCGTTTTTTACCAACCCCCGAAGCACTGGACTTGTGTTACCGAGCGGAGAGGACTGCTGACGGCTGGATTGTGAAGTCTTCAGAAAAGGTAGCTACAGCACGGTGCGGTTTCTGCTCCACAAACTGAAGTTAGCCTCCTAGCATAGCTGCGTTTCCCCGCATGCAGGCAGTGGTGATGCTTTTTTTTTTTTCTCCATTATATTCAGAGGACAGCAGTTATTAATGGCCACTTTCCTCTCGACGCTGTCATGTTCGGTGGATTCAGAGGAGGAGATTCATCGCCTTGTCATAAACAATACAGACAGATGCATTTGAACAGAGCACCGTCGGGGCTGACAACAGGCTCATGCCCTTTCTACAAACTGAGGTTGGCTCTGGTCATGTGGACCGGCCACTACATTAGCCCAGAGTGTAAGAGTATCACTGATTGAGGTTTGTTGTAATAACGGTGCCAGCTGTTTCTGCTGAGCAGCGAGGACCATCTGACGGCCGTGCGTTGCTCAGTTTTCACTATGAGCGCCCGGAGTCAGGCTGTCATTTCACATCGGTTTTTTTTTCGGGTTTTTTTTTTTTTTTTTTTTTTTTTTTTGGGTGGGGGGGGTGATTTCACCACATCTTACCTTGGTGGTGTCCAGGGAGAAACATGAACGCGCTTGATGATGGTTATTTTGTCAGGAATCGCTCATTGAAATGTCAGTGTTCATTTTCATCATGGGTGCACGGTCGACAGTGTCGATGCAGCAATGAAATTAATATTCCAAAAAAAAAAAAGAAAAAGCGCATTTAATACGCATTGTTCACACATTGAGCTTGCACTAGCCTCGGCTACATGAAGGCAGCAGCGTAGCACAAAGGAGATGGAAAGCTGGCAGTCTGAATTCAGCGCTAGACGTGCAATTTTACATCACAATAACACTCATATCATATTCTCCCTATGTAATTTAAAGATAAATTCTTCTTGGAGCATCACTGCAATGTGACCTTTTCTGTTTCTTCCTCTGCGGGGCCTGCTCGCAGTTCAAGGACTTACACAACTGATGTGACCAAGTGATGCCTGAGAGTGGCAGCTCTGAATTTGCACACTTAATTTGTGTGTGTGTGTGTGTGTGTGTGTGTGTGTGTGTGTTTTGGCTTGAGCTGCATGTCATCTGCTTCTATTTTTCCTCCTGGAATATGGTCAGTTTCAGGCAATTTTGGATTGTTTACTAAATTTAGACTCTTGATGGCAACACCAGAGGCAGGCCATATTTTTTTGTAGTTAGAGGCACAGGGAGATACTGTACGTTTCCCATTTGGTGACATTATGGAAAAAATCTTATTAGCATGTTTACGGGGAAACATAAGTTGCTTCTTTCTCCTTCAAGAGACCAGCTCAGTTCAATAATCTGCCCAATATACTTTATTTTGCAGTCTTTGGCATTTTAAAGGTGTGTGCATTTTAATGTCCTCGCTCTCATGAAGTCTAATATTTCTAAACTAAACTAAAAAGTTTTCATATGGTCTATTTGTAGGCCAGTATGTTCTGTATTCTCCTACACCTTCCATTTCACTGAACTCCCATTGCCTTTGAGCCCATGTGGAGCACCTACTGCACTGTTTACCTGTTCAGTGCACCCCTCCAGCACCACACATCACTGGGAAATATCCTCAAGCAGATATGTTAGAGTTTGAGCTGGATTGTCAGTACTGGACTTGGGAGAAAGACAACACATTCAATTAAGACAAGGCGAGGATGTTTTTATACACAGCAAATTTCATACCCAAGGGAAGTTCGCTTTACCTGAAGTTTAAGAAGAAAAGAAAGAGGAAGAAGAGAGATAATTAGCTAATAATAATATTAGTAATAATGATAGCCATTCACAACATACAGAAGTACATATATAGAGTATTCAGTCACAAAGGACATATTGTATGTTATTAAAAGCCAACAAAAAACATGTTTAAAGACATTTTTTAAAAGGAATGAAAGGGTGGGAACATCTTGCGTCCTCAAGGAGGCTATTCAAGCATCTATCAGCATAAAAACTGAAGCAACCTTGCCAAACTTTGAATTGACTCTGAATAGTGCAGAAACGTTAGAACCAGTTGACCTGAGAGGTCTGAGGAGCCTTTGAGCGGGTCTAACCTTGAAGTTCTTCCAGAGCGTACTGGAAGCCAATATAATGTTTTGAGGTCAGATGTGATGTGCTCTGCTTTTGCTGAAAAGCAATCCTAATATAAGATCCTTTTATTGTTAGAAAATGTGCAGAATGTACTAATGTCATCTCTTCTCACCTTTTTTTTCATTCTCAGAGGCAAATTATGCCAGCAGCACCAGAGTCGCTCCCCCTGGTGACGTGCCAGCTCATTGGTCAGACTATTCTGCCCTCCTCTAGCCTCCCTGTCTACCCTGGCAGATCCATGCTGCTGGATGCTCCTCACAGAGCCACGCCCGCACCATGAGCGCCAACGGGCCAGCCCCAGACCCTGCCCCAGCGGCCCCAGAAGCCCCTCCTGCCTCTACCCCTGCCCCTGCTCCGGTCCCAGCCCCAGCCCCCGCGGCACCACCCGCTCCTCCTGCCCCGCCTGCCCCAGCGGCCACTACCATCCCGGTAGGTGCGTTGGCACAGAAGAAGCGGCAGCAGTATGCCAAAAGCAAGAAACAAGGCAGTAACGCCAACAGCAGGCCACCGAGGGCTCTGTTCTGCCTCAACCTCAACAACCCCATACGCAGGGCCTGCATCAGCCTGGTGGAGTGGAAGTATCCTTTACTGTGACTTCATGTGGTGCTGAGACTTGATCGGTTATCAGTCCTTGCTCATAGAGCTGAAATTATTAGTTGATTAATAGATTAGTCGATTGACAGAAAATGAATGGGTACATTTTTGATAATTGATTGATCGCAACAACCAAACAATGGTTTTGTACTCTCTGGTTCAATGCAGGAATTTTAAGCTTTTTTCATTTTGCAAAAATATTTTTGGTCAGACAAAACAAGACGTTTGAAGGCGTCACCTCGGGTGCTGGGAAACACTTTTTCACTGCCAGATTAATCAATATTAAAAACAATTGTTAGTTGGAGCCATACTTGTTCAAATATCCTGTATACCTTTGGATACTGTTGGATCTTAGTTATGGTAATTATCAGTATTACTATATTAATATTGGTGCCTTTTAAAGTAATCAGAGTCAGGCAACTTAAAGGCAATGACAAGAAGAAAAGAAAAGGTAAAAACTGAAAAAAACTAAAAAATTTCTCTCGGTTTAAACATTTAAACGAGCAGTGTTTAGTTAAGCCTTGAACTCCACATTTCTGTCTGTTGATTTTATAGATGCTAGCTGAAGCATGATGGAAAAGAAAACAAAATTAAAGTTACAGGCCAAAAAAAAAAAAAGTAAGAATGAATTTATTGTTCTCAAACCACAGTACGTTGTCGTCGTTGGTAATGTGGGTTAAAAAAAACTGCCCTGATAAACGCAGGATAGCTTTCTCCTGCGTATCATGTAGAAAATGTTTCTCCCACTAAAGACACAGTGAATGCCCTGAATCCTAAAATACTGGTGGGGCACTTTGTAGACTAACTGGCACAACACAGCTGTGTGACAGTCTGGTGGGTTTGTGGCTTAAGCAGATGTTGTCATCACAAAAGCCATCAGATGTTATAAATGAGATTGCCTAATATGAATTGCAAGGATACATTTCATAATCCATCTTTGTGTGTTTGTTGAAAAAAACAGTCACTGGGGATTTACTACCAGTACACTGGGAATGCAGCTGTAGCTGTATCAGGTGTCCCAAATTGTTCTGCATGCAACACAGCAACAGTGCTGCATGTTTGTGTCTCACAGCTGTGATTGGAATATTTGGTCAGTTCGGACATTTGAGGATGAAAATGCGACAGTGCCTGTGTCATTGTTTTTGTGACATATAATGTTTGAGATAGAGGATGAATCAATGAAACATTCCCTGCTCTTAACATTGTGCCTTATTTTAACATTTAATTGGTTTTTGTACAAGTCACAAGATATTCTTCTTCAGTTCATTAATCCATTTCAGGATGGCAGTTGTCTCTTAGCTGCAGGATTTTGGTTTTGGGTAACAATCTGGTGAAACTGCATATTGAGGCTGAGTTTGGGAAATCTGGGTTTAGGAGATAATCCTGACTATACATCACTGTAATACAGTGGTTTACAAATGTTTTGGCTTGTGACCACTTAAAATGAAGTTTTGTCTGCTCCTCACTCCTCCTCACAGTCGACATGTCTATGGATACGACAAATGTGACATATGCCTGTGGATCAACAGGGTGACAAGGCCTTTTATTTGACTCAAATACAAATGTTCTTTTTTGTCTTCCTAGTGAATTACTTATTTTTTGAACCTCTGATATAATATACAATTTAACAGAGACAATTGTTGCCAAGAATAAGGGACGTTTATGTCACAACTTTTTATATAGTGAAGGAGGTGTAATGTCATAGCTGGGGTAATTTTATTATATTATTTATTATTTCATCTTGCTGTGTTATATGATTCTGTGTTTTCCTTAACTTCTTTTTTTTCAGGCCATTTGATATCTTTATATTAATTGCTATTTTTGCCAACTGTATGGCCTTAGCTGTCTATGTCCCCTTCCCTGAAGATGATTCCAACTCCACAAACCATGACCTGGTGAGTAGCCTTTTAACGTCTTTATTACTTGGTTGTTATCCATTCATCCTACTTACACTCAGCCGATGCAATCAAAGTTGGACTGCTCTTGCTCTGCAAAATTTTTATGTGGACTGTCTGAGTCTACATAGTCAGAAGAACCTCTTGTTGTCTGGCTTGAATTAAGGGTTGTTATCTTTGAATGCAGTGATACATTCTTGCAAGGATTGTGCTGTTTGTGATAAGGAGAAAGGGAAGATTATATCCTCTAGTGCCTCTTACTGTTTTTGTGTTTGGTTAGCTTTCATCTGTATTATTTATTATTTACTTTCAAGATAAGTTGTAAAATGCATTTTTACTTTGTAATCCCTGCTGTCGATAAAGTTTGATCTGCCTTTTCACTGTGAAGATATTGTTTGAGGTTTTACAGTAGTAAGACGTTGCACACAGAGTGTGTCTTCAGTATCTGCTGTGCCCACACAGAGAAACACTTTGACAACTATCCTCATTGGTGCTTTATCATGTCATAGTTTTCCTGTTCAGAGGTTTTATTCAGCTCTCTATTTTTAGAATTTTCTCGTCATTGCACCACTCTGTGCACCTTGTGCATTTATGTCTGTGTGTGATGAATTATGGGTGATGTAGTGTTGTAAGCATTGTTCCACAGCTGAGGATGAGTGCACTCTCCAAAAGCCTGACAGACACGCAAGATGTGGTCCTTACACGAGCAGAATTTAGCTGTAGTGTTCAATGATTCATGAGCAGCTTATACAGTGTGTCTGCAGACATTTGAATGTTCTTGAAAGCTTCGTCTGAGAGCGGGAACAAGTTAGAGAAAGGTTACCAGCCTGCTGTAAAAGACCGGCGGGAATGTTCCTCTGTCTGTTACGCTGCTGAACCCGCTGCGCAAGATAAGCTACAGCTTTGGTTAAAAGTGTGTCTGGTCTACTTTATCAAAGTAAGGTGTACTTCTTCCTAGTTTGACCTCCTGGAGGGTGACCTCAGGGTTTTTGTTTACACAGCGGTGGTGCATCAGAGGAAAGTGGGCCATCTGGGACATTATGGTGTCTGATACAGTACTAGCTACAGTATGTTGTCAGGTTACGTTTGGAGTGAAGTTTGAAGGGGTATTTTGTCCTAATAATGACTTGGAAGAAAATGTGCACACTTGCAAAACAAAGATGGAAAAAGAATCTGGTAAAATGTCGCGAGGTTGGTTGGACTAAAGAAAAGCATTGCTGAACCAGCATTTTAATGTCAATAATAACGATAATGTCGCTATACTGTAAATACATCAAAGACAGAGTTTAAAGTTTATACTAATAGATTTGAGCGTGTTTGCTGGACTGAAGTAGTTACACACACCCCAGCTCTTTTTGTCTTTGGTTTACAGATGAATCAATCTGACCCATTAGATTGGTATCAGTGCCGGTACTAAGCTACCACTGAGACTGAATCATCTCTGTTTAATATCTGTATGTGCTTCACAGTTAATGCTTTTAAATGTAGAATTATATTGTGAAACCATAATTATGCTGATATTGAAAATCAGGACTATCTTAAGTTAACAAAAATGAACTCTATAATACACATTTAATTTTATTTCATTATGTTTACAGAGTTGTAAAGATTCAATCAGAGGTTTACAGATTTTATTTTAGGGAACAAAGATCAGTGGTATCAGATTGGTACCCTGAGTTTTAGTATCGGACATCAAGGGAGACACGGTTAGATTGGGGCGTCTCTGCTCTGGCTTTGTAGTGTTACTACACAGAATGAATGTGAGGTTAATCTGAGTGTTGAGAGAAGCTACTTTCAGCTGAATGGCAGCTCTATTGTGTTTTAGATGGCTGCTGAGCTAAATAGCTCTCAGTGACAGATGCCACTCACTAATATGTGCCAGGCTTTGCACTGATAATTGACCACGTGTGCAGTGTTGACAGGCGATTATTTCATAGTGGTAACTTTTTTCATAGTCTCTAAATTTCAGGTCCTTTCGCAGATTTACCTCACAATCTGTCATGTTACTAAATTCAGAGCATTGTTAGAATTTACTTTCATACGTATGTTCACAGCTTCACTTCCTCATGTGTTAAAATCACATCCAAGGGTGTGTGGCAGAGAGGAAGGCCTGGGAGCCTTTTAATACAATATTGATTCTAATAATACCCAAGTAGCATCAAACTAAATACCTAAGCTTCCCAGGAAGGGAGCTACCCTCCACATCTAATCTCAGTCTTTATAATGCAAAGCAAAGAACCGTAAGTGTAAACATGATGGCTAGTTTATCGGTTTTTAATGATGCCTTCATTATGTCTATTGTCTGAACCTGTCGCACATAGCTCTCCTCTGAACAGGAGTGTCAGATTGGATTCATGGATGCACCCATTAAGAATTAACCTGAAACGCTACATTTTATGCTCCGCCTATCAGATGGTGCAGGACTGTGCAGCATCATCGATGTGGCCTACATGCTTCATGAACAAGACCATCAAGTAGAAATGAGAGGACAAGCTGATGAGTTTATCACACACTGGCTTTCTTTCAGCAGCCCTTACAATGAGGACAAAGCGAGAGCGAGACTTCTTTAACTGCACTATGGATGGTTTTTTTTTTTTGCTTATAGTTATTATATTGAATCTTCTCTAACGCTACAGACAGCTTTACATTGCTTGCGCAAGACTTTGGTTTAATTCTGCAGTGTCAACATTAAATCACATACCAGAGGGCGAATAATGCAATCTCTCCCTTTTCAGCAGAGGTTGAACAATAGAATATTTTGTAGGGCAGGTGTGCCAGCTTGGCCTTAGTTGTCCTACAGAACTCGCGCTGTGCTCACAGGAGGAGTGCTAGAGAGCAAAATGCTGAGCTAGTTTTGCTAAAGTAGCCAGCAGGTAGGGCTTTAGTGAAGATTCCTATTTCACACTGCTCTGCTCTGCAGCCTCACAGGTGGACTGAGGACTGATATGAAACCCGAGGTGGGGTGCTGAGAGGTCTGATGTGTAAAGCAAGGATCAAATTATATCACAGGGCAGCAGAACTATGCAGACTTTTACTCAGTTACACATTCGAAGGTGGTATGACTTTCAACAGAGACACTGAAACTCTGATGCGGACTTCTCGGCTTGTGGATGTGTAGATGGTTCACTTAGTGCATTGCCTTTCAGCACATTATCAGCCAACATTAATTCCTGAGAGGTAGGAATGCAGTTTCTATTCATTTGTTGGTGCAACGCTCTGCAGATAGTGTCTAGGTGCTGCAGAGATGCTGTCAGTTAGAACAGTGCATTGCTGCAAAGTCATAGAGGCCTTAATAGCATGAGTGTGACCGTCTTGTTAGTAAGGCTTGGTTAAATGCAGCAGCTCATTATAAATAGAAAGCAATTTCCTCCTCAGGCGGAACGCAGGGCAAAAGATTGGGGTCTTGCTACCACCAGGAGGCACAAGTGAGTAACAGGATGTAGCGAGCACACACATACACTCACACGCACGTGAAGACAACAAACCCTGTCAGGAAGACGCAGTCATTTCTTCATTCCTCTCTCTTGCTTGGCTCTCTCCTTTATTGCTGTTCCTTTGTTTAGTCATTCCACTGTAATAGTAAGAAGTGCGCACACAACCCATTCCTGCACGTGACTGTGTCTCCTTGGCACCCACCTTGTCTAGGGGACAGACAAATAGTCTGCAACCCTCCTGCCTTTGCTTTAAGGTCATTTCTGACTTATCTATCTGAGACTCAACACCCCAGGCAGCTCCTGCTGAAGGTAGCTGAGCAAAACAATGACCTTTTCATGGTGAATATGATTCATACATCTCATCTTTCGTAAGGAAACATGCAGCGAATTGCGTCCGGTATCATGTAGTGTTTGCCCGTATCGTTGTTATTGCATAACTCTGGAGCCGCAGAGCTATTTATTTTAGTGGGGACAAAAGGACACCAATGTAAAGACTGAAATGTCTGCGCACAAACCAATAGAGAGGTCATTTGGATGCCAGCAGAGAGCTCACAGTTCGATTCAGCTTCACATTCAGATGCTCGTACAGTTGAGCACGTCAGCATTTAGAAAACATGAATCATTTTTGAATGTGAGGGACTATGAGTGACACATGCTACAAGTATGGGAGTCTGGTTTCATTCTGGATCTTAATTATGTCAAAATGATTTCCTTTACATATATATAAATAATATTGATATTTTGTGTCATGACAAGAAGCTAAGAAGACAAATGTGGTTCACGCAGAAAGAGGTGAGGGGGGTTGGGGGGCGGGGAATCGGAGATGGTCATTATGAACATCTGTCCTCCTTGTTTAAGATTAACAAGTGAAGCTTGTTCACAGTAATGGCAGTTACATGCTTGTCATCTCCCAGCAATGTAATGCATTGTTGCTGTGTTTACTACTATGACACAAAAACAGACAGCACAGATCATGTAGTAACATCTTTTACTGACATGTCAACGGCTGCGTAGAAATATGTTACATTCATTTTTATTTATTTGCACTCTTTTAGAAAAGAACCCTCCTCTTTTATGACAAATATCTATTTTCAAAAGTTACGTACTATATGCTTCTATTGGTATGTATAATATAAGTTACGTCTGTGTCACAAGATTTAGAATTAAACTTTATAAAATGGGCTTAGCTTTAGCTTAGCTGGCTCACTACTGTGCAGCTCATACGCGGCATGAACTCTGCACAGCAACACTGAGGTCATACTATAGCACAGTGTCTTAGTATATGTTGGTCTGCGTGCGACTCTGTTGTTGGTGTGGAATGATACTGTGCACTACAAAAGGAGCAACTGGCAACAGAGAGGAAGTCATTTCTGATGTAAATACATACCAACAACCATCACAGTGCCAAACTTGTGACTCGAAGCCAAAGCCTGTTGACTGATCACAGTCGCTATATGTGCTTCAGTGTGACATCCAGCCACTGAGAGGCATCCAGTGGTTCTTGTCAAAGAGTATCAGAGGCACAATAAGATGTTTTTTGAGCTCATGTCTGATAACATTGTCAAT